CTAAGATGGTAACAGTTTCCCAGTTGAAACTATGATTAAGTCTGTCCATGTATTGTGAGATTAAGAAGTTTTCATCGTGTCTTCTGACTGCTAGTTGGTGTTCATGGATGTGCTCTGCCAGCCTTCTGCCTGTCTGTCGTGCATAGTGGTTACAGTCCTTACACTGTATGTTGTAGATGACTCCTGTTTTTCCTTCTTGGGCTACTGGGTCTTTTGGTTTGCTTAAAATGTTTTGGAGTTACATCTTCCATGTACATGTTTTGGAGTTACATCTGCCTTATTTCATTACTTATCTATTTCAAGTGTTTCAATCCTACTCTTCAGCCTAAAAAATGTCCAGAGTAGCTTAAATTATAATCAGATGACTAAATAAATAAGAAAGAATGGGGGATGGGTTGGGAAAAGGAAACAGGATAACCTTCCTTTCCTCAATTTACTTACCTCCTATCTAAATGTTCTTATTTCAAGCTTTTCAGAGAAGACAATACAAGGATGCTTTCGACAAATCTTTTGACTCTCAGGAGACCACCAATGGCACAGAAACTAAGCACAGCTTGGAGAATGTTGTCTCTCGCTTGCAGACGTTTTCGTGTAAACCAGTTCCAGTTAGCTCAACAGGTAATGCCAGTATTCTCTTCCAGTGAGATAAGGATGGGGAACATGTCACATCCAGTCTTCTGAATTGTGTGAAGACGCCATCTCATGTGGACGTTGGACAGATCTGAGATATAACCATCACTTTCCACAAGTGATATGAAATATGAGTATTGGGATACTGAAGGATATATTATTTTCTTGATAGTAAAGACAACCAAAATCTCTATTGCCCAGATTATGGTCCTTTTATGGCCTCACTACGAACACTCCTGAAATATGTCATAGATATTTTCCTTAACTATATTCTGGAAACTATCAATATGTAATCTGCGCTAGTGATGTTAACTTAATCCAGCGGGGAACCAAATGTCCTGGGCCCCTTAGACATAACAGTTTCCTCTTCTGAAGCAGCTGCAGCATGTTCAGTTGCAGCATTTTCTACAAAACATGGTCAGGAAGAGATTTCTAAAAATTAGGCTACAGAACTTGTGCCAAGGCAAGACTGTTCTATCCATTTTTTGTTATTTAACAGAAATAAAAGTGGAAGTGGACTCATTGAAAGAGTCCCTTGATATATTTACTTGGTCCTTCTACAATAAATTAACTCAGATAGCTGAAGCAGAAAGCTCTGAGTCCAAAAATGATCAAGCTGTTGTAACCCAAAGTAAAGACCCTATAGTTGAATCTACTGAGAAAAGGGAACAAACCCCCCAAACACCTGCCCTTCAACTTTTGAGACAAGGAAGTGTTGAAAATCAAAATCAGAACAACTGTATGTTGCAAACGGATCAGATTTACCTATAAATCATCCTCAATAGACTCAGCGGTGGGGTTCAAAGTCCGTTACTTTGATGTCATTAGTATGCAAGTGACTTATACTTGGTGGAGAGGCTTCCTAGTAAGGTAGGCTGCAAGCAAATCCTACTGACATTTAAGAGGCCTATACAGGTAGTCCTTGCTTAATGACCACAACTGGGACTGGAATCTCAGTCGTTGAACAAAGCAGTTGTTAAGCGAGATGCCCATGTGACTATTTCGCTCAATGACTGCAATCTAGGCACTCCCAGTTGCGATCGTTAAGTGATCTCCCGGGTCATTAAGTGGACAGAGTGAAAGAGCTGCCTGCTGAAGGATTTCAGCTCCTCGCGGAGCTGAAATCCTTCAGCAGACAAGCTCTTTTGCTCCATCCTCTTTCCCTTCCCCTCTGTCAGCAGTCAATGGAGCTTCTGAAGATCTCAGCTCCGTAACTGCCCAGTGTTGAAGGGGGAGGGGAAACCTCCCAGTGCTGGGCAGTTACGGACCTCAAATCCCGAAGATTTGAGGTCTATAACTGCCCAGTGCTGAGAGGGGAGGGAAAACCTTGCAGCGGTGTGAAGGCAGGGACCTCAAATCCTGAAGATTTGAGCTCTGTTACTGCCCACCGCCACATCCCCTCTGCTTGCAACCTTTCCTGCTGGCTTGCAATGGGGAAGCCAGCAGAGAAGATTACAAATGGCGATCACATGATTGCGGGCCTAGGCAACCAGTCATAAATGCGAGCTAGTTGCCAAGCACCCAAAATGCAGGTGTGTGACTGCGGGGGGTGGTGGCAGCACAATGTTTTACAATGGCCGGAAATGCTTTACCGGCCGTAAAGCACCCTTTCTGAGGCTGTCATAATTTTGAACCATTGATTAACGAACGGTCGTTAAGCAAGGACTATCTGTAATTCCAAGTACAGTAATACCTTGGTTCACGAATGCTTCTGTTCACGAACAATTCGGTTCGCAAACAGCAGCGTTCGCAAAATTTTGCTTCCGTTTGTGAACTTCGCATTGGGTGACGAACACGACCTGCGGCCGTCTTCCCTGCTATGACACGCAGTGGTGGCTTCCTCTAGGCGAGAACGCGGTCGCAGACAGACACTTGCTGTGAAGCTTTTTGGTGTGCTTTTTAGCACATACAGTA